AGGAACAACAAATCAGTAGGAAAACAATTGCAAACATCCAAAATTCATATATTATGCAACCAATATTAGCAAATCTTGTCATCTTAAGAGTTAGTAAGTATTGCGAAGTAAAGGTTATAGTAAGATAATTAGTAAATAATAATAAATCCCATTTTATATCTAGTATATTTTCTTAACAATAATAAATATAATACCTTTAGATGTAAAGGAGTGAGGATAATAAGGTTGAGCTGTTCTCTCATTTTGATATTCTTTTTGTATAATATTTTTATTGATTGTAAGAAATTTCTAATAAGGGATAGTTTTAACTTCCAATAGATATGGTTAAAGATGATAGCTTAGCAAAATCTATTTGCTATAAATATTAGGCTTAATTATTTTTTTTAAAATTTTTAAGTTAGCTATCTACTACCTCCGGTCCTTAATATAAGACCCAATTTGAATTTTATTTTGGTCTTAAATATAAGATCCCAATCCACTTTGTTTATCATATTTATACATTTTTTTCAAAGTAGCCTTTTTAATAATGATAGTTCTAGTCAATACACTTGATTAGCAAGGATATTTTAGGAAAGACAACACTTATTTAGGAGAAATAACTAACTCAACTTACTTTCTTAATCTCCTCAAATTAGTCAACTGGCTCTTATAATTATGACCGGGGGTAGTACTTTTTATATTAAGGACTAATATATACCACCATAGTGTATTATACTACTCAAAACTGGATTTGGTGCTCATCATAATGATAAGCCTTATGACATTCATCGTGGGTGAAATCTTATCATTAAAATACAATTTTAATGGTCTAGAAGTAAAAGTTTTAGCTATAATATTTAAATAGACAAATCATATTTTTAAACACTAACAAATAACATATTATTTTTATTTTAGATTTTATGTATGTTAAATTTATCATAATCTTGTTTGTTAGGTATGTTCGATATCTTTTTTTAGTGATATAATTTTAATCATGACTTTTTGGGTACAATTTTACCCATATTTTTTAGGATAAAATTTTACTTTTAATCTTTATATGCAATTTTATCCTTCAAGAGTAAAATTAAGGTATTAGGTATACTTAAAAAAAAAAGATCATGAGTAAATTTATATCCTTATACCTTTATTTTTCACATGAAAAGGGATAAAACTGTAATTTTACTCATAGTCTTGTTTTCTTACATAATTTTATTTAAAATATTTTTAGTAGTGTAATTTTATCTATAATGTTTTTTATGCAATTTTACCCATAATGTTTTGTGGTGTGTACGAGGTAACATGCGCTAAACAAAACATAAGTAAAATTATACTATTAAAAATATTAGAGATAAAATTACATTTAAAAAATAAGATTAAAAGTAAAATTATATTTTTACTCTGAAAAAATCAACTCAGTCATACTGCCGTACATTACTTGGTCTAGATATGCATACTTCTTGTAATTATTACTGTGTGAACGTGGAAAAAGCGATTCAGATTTCAGAGTAGTTCTCTTTCTGTCTTCTTTTGCTGGGGCTTTGCCTGTCCTTTTTGGGCTCGAAACAGTGTTGAATAAAAATAAAAAGGAGAAATTCTTACATGCTCCCAGTGCACCACCGTGTCCATGCTCTGACAAATAAAATCATGACAACTCAACAACTTTTATCTTATGTGTCAGCCTATGTGTCAACCATTCTCTTCCTATTATTTTAATCATTTATTTTTGAGAAACGTGCTGCTAATCTCTTCTCTCCTCTCTCTCATGCGTCACTTTACTTTTACAAAAACTCTCACCCCTCTTTCTTACTTGCCATCTGGTCCCAGCTACACACCTCGGTCTCTCTCTGCCCACCCACAAGCACACCACTCTCTCTCCTCCTTCCTCCCTATCTCTGTCATTCTCATATTCTGTATTCCTTCGTTCCTACTGTTTCCCACACATTTCAAGTCTGATTTTTTTTTTCAATCATAATATTTTATTTACTTTTTCTTTTTTTTAAAAAAAATAGAATTGATGTTTCGTTCACCTCTTATTTTTTATAATATACTCTTGATTCTTTTATAATATCTCTACTTAACTTTAATTTTTTTTATTCACACTTTTTGAACTCCTGATTTTTTTAATAATATCTAGATTTAACTCCAATTTTTTCATTCATATTTTTCTGATCCTATTTATAAATCACTTCTAACATGTTTTATATAAATCAAGAAAAACTTTGAACTTTATTAACTATCATTTAAAATTTAATAATATTTCAACTTTATCCCTATCTAATACTATCCTCAATCCTAATTATAAGACCATATTTATAGTCTATAAATATAAATAGAACCGGAGATAGTATATAATATACCTTATGTAAACAAAATCAATACAATAATAAATTAAAGGTAAAATTATATATCAATATATAAATTTTTTCTCAGTATCCTGTAAATAGGATCAAAAAATATTTTCTTTTTTTGCTTTATAAATAGGACCAAAGAAGTAATATATTGGGAGAATCATCAGGGGTACCAAAACAAATTTAATTATTAAAAAATTCTACTGATAGGTAATCAAGCATGAATCTGTTGTTATTTTTTACTCTGAAATTTGTCATTTTATGCTCTTTAGTTATTAATTATTTTAATTCTATTCCTTAAAAGAAAACGTGTGAATAAAAAAACAGAATTATATATTACTTATACATATTTACCTTTCAATTATATTTTTTTAAAGAAAAAGATCAATAAAATATTATGATTGAAAAAGAAATCAGACTTGAAATGTTTAAGAAATGAAGAAATACAAAATATAAGAATGAGAGAGACAGGGAGGAAGGAGCGGAGAGAGTGGTGTACTTGTGGGTGGGCAGAGAGAAATCGAGTCAGGGAGCTGGTAGCAGATGGCAAGTGAGAAAAGATGAGGGTTTTTGTAAAAGTAAAGTGACGCATGAGAGAGAGGAGGGAGGTGATAACAGCACGCTTTTCAAAAATAAATGATTAAAATAATAGGAAGAGAATGGTTGACATAGGCTGACACAAAAGATAAAAGCTGTTGAGTTGTCATGATCTTATTTGTCAGAGCATGGATACGGTGGTGCACTGGGAGCATGTAAGAATTTCTCAATAAAAAGTATTGCAGATTGTTATTCAACTTTCCCATTTAAATTGATTATTAAATTTAGGAACGGCCCTTGTGTGTGGATTTCCTCTGTATTGCTCCTAATCATTTTCTGGAGAATTTCAGTAAACTAATTAATATTAATCAACTCCAAAAGATTTCAAAATTTTAGTCTGTCCTTTTAAACAAAAATAAAAATAAAATCTAAGAATAAAAATATAATAATACCCCTATATTTATTTTTTTTAAAATGATTAACTGTTAGGGGAGCTTTGGTGTCCAGAGGATTTTTTTTTTTTAATCAAATAAGGTGGCTAGAGAGGAGATTGAATCCCAGATCTCTTGGCAGATTAAAAAAAAGTGACTATCAAACCAATTAAATCACTTAATTATATAACACAAAGAAATATATATATATATATAATACAAGTACCTAAGTATGAATAAATAAGTGAAATTTGACAATTCGCATAAAAAATGAGCAATTCAGGTGTGAATGAGTAAGTAAAATTCGATAATTTACAACCCAAATTCAACTATTTACAAGAAATATAAGTAAATTCACAATCTCAAAATTTAAGCATGTGGGTGTGAAGAAATAAATGAAATTTTATAATTTACAATAAAAATTCGGTGATTTATAACCAAAATCTGGCTATTTGTAAGAAATATAAGTGAATTGAAAATCTTAACTATAAGTATTTAGTTGTGAGTGAACAAGTAAAATTTAGCGGTTTATAATAAAAATTCAGTTATTTACAACAAAAATTTGATTATTTATAAGAAAAATAAGTAAATTTACAACTTCAAAAACAAGTATTTAGGTGTAACTAAGTAAGTAATAATATAATATAATATAATATAATCAAACTTAAAATATTTAGAAATAAAGTGAATTCCACACATGCAGAAGAAACAACTTTATAATATTCCTCGTATCTTATTTATAAGTTACTTTTAACATATTTTATAAAAATAAAAAAGTCTTAAACCTTATTAACTTTATCTTAGAGTTTAACAACTTTATAATTTTATCCTTATGTAATATATTTTTTATAAAAATAATAATTTGTATAATAATAAATAAAAAATAAAATAGTAAATTCATATTAAAATTTGAATAAAATACCTATAGGCAAGACAAAAACAGTTTTTTCTTCATGTTTTATAAATGAGACTCCAGTGAAATTGAAATTCCCTTTTCTCTTAAACATAAACCATTACCAAAAGCCAAACTCCGCACAAAGTCCAAGTAAATTTGTTCACGTTAAAAATCTCTTCTTTTTTTAATTTGTGAAATAAAAATTTGAAAGTATGTACCGGATTTAAATGTTTTCTGGTTTGCATTTTTTTTTTTTTGGTAAAATGTTTGAAGCACACATATGACATATCTGGGGAGGCTCGTAAATTTAGAAAAAGACATTGGTCGTAAATAAGAAGGAAAAGTCATGAAGCCTCATCTAAATTTCATATGTTTGGCCGTTTGGGAAAGAAGTAATTAAAAAAAAAAAAATCAAAGAAAGAGACAAAGGAACACAGGGATTGGGGAGGGACCCACAACCGACAGTTATGGGAAGGAGAGCCCTTCCTGCTAATTCACGCGGGGCAATCTCTTTTTGCAATGTCGGTTAGATAATGTGATGATTTGTGAAATAAAAATTTGAAAGTGTACTAAATTTTTTTCGGTAAAATGTTTGAAGCACACATATTTGTAGAGGCTTGTAAGTAAATAAGAAGGAAAAGTAACGAAGCCTCACTAAAGTAAGTCTTTACCTCTCGTAGGGTGATTTTACGGTATACAAAATAAACATACAGAGGAATTTATCTTTATTTGTAGATACAAACACCCTCTCAGTCAATGTCTCTACTTTTATTGCAGGTCGGCGTCTGTAGATCACAACAACGCATGTGGAGAAGAAAGCAAGATTGCTTCAACAACTTTCTAAGCAGTATGGATCTCTGCGAAATAAGAATTTTTTTGTTTAGATAAAACATATTGAAAGTGGCTAATAAATAAATCTAGAGAAATATTATATTCCCTTTGATCCTTATTATAAGATGTTACTAAAAACAGTTAAAAGTATTAAATTTGTTATAAAATTCAAGTAATTTCTAATATTATCTTCATTAACTATACCAAATTTCAATATCATATTAATTTATACTCTTCTACAACCCTTATTAGATTTGGCTATATGGCTCAAAGTTTACTAAAATACCATAATACTTTCCATATGGTTAGCGTGCACCAACGAGACTACCACCCTATAGCATGTTGCCGACATTTTTAAAATGATTAAAAATATTCAAAATAATGTCTAAACCCAATGACTCAAGAAAAACCTCATTATCTTAGTTTTATTTTCTATTCTTGTTAATACTCTCTTAATAGTAATTATATCCTATAGCGGGCCTAATCCATTGCTAAATTGTTTTGGGTTAGAACCTACATACTCCGATAATCTCGGGCATTTCTTTTTAGGTTAAAGCTGCAATTTTACTCCTAAATTTGTCATATAAAGAGTTAATAAATATTAGCAAGACTTATCTTTAGATTTAAACAAAAAGGAATAAGGATAATAAATAGGGGGAATTGTAATATGATCGGATTTAATTATTATAAAGTTTGTTGACAATTAAAGAACATGTAATGACAAATTCTTATTGAGATTTTTTGATAATTAAATTCTATCTTTGAGATCTCATAATAATTCTTCCTAATAAATAAGGTTGAGGTGTTCTCTCATTGATATTTTTTCCAAAAATATTTCTATTTATTGTAGAGTTTTTACTAAGAAATAATTCCAATATACATGTTTAAAGAGAGTAATTTAGTAAAGTCTATTTGTTATAAATAACTAATTTAACTAAATTTTTTTATTAATTTTTAATTAATTATTTAAGTTTTATATTAAGAATTAGTATATATCACAATACTACTTTCAGTCTTAATTATAAAATCTTATTTATATAATATGAATAAAATCTCACAATTAAAACCGGAAGCAATAATACATTGGACTCAATCGGATTTCGTACTCATTGCGCTATGGTATTCATGGTGGGGCGAAATCTATAGTTAAAACACAATTTCAATAGTCTAAAGGTAAAATTTTTAACTATAATGTTCAAATAAAATTAAACCCAAACCATCTCATTAAATTAGATCCATATAATGCACAATAACAATGCTTTATTACCGAAACTAAATCTGCCAGCAAGACTTATGCCACTCTTGAAAAGCTGGGGTCAATGCGTCTCCCCTCGTTAGTCGAAATTTCCTTTTTGGATTAAGATAAAAATTTAGAGCCGTTTAGATTAAAAATATTTATAAAGATATTTTAAATAAGTTGAGATAAATTTTTTTTTATAATCATACGTCATAAATCATGACTAAAAAAACTGTTTATAAACTATTTTAAATGTCACTTAAAAGTTTTTACTTACAAGATTTGGATTTTGAATACTTGAAAGTTTTTTCTCTCACAGATTTATTTCTAAAGTTTAAAATCATGACATTTTTTTATCATAAACTATCATTAATAATACTCATCTGATCCTATTTATAAGGTAAAAAGAAACAATATTTTTTAGTATTATTTATAGGATATTGATAATTTTTTTTTGTATCAACGTATAATTTCATCATTTATTTATTATTGTATTAGTTTTATTTATATAAGATATAATACATATTAAATAGGAATAAAATTAAAAAATTAAAAAATTTTACTTTAATTTTTTTTTTACATAAAAAAAAATCGGTTCAGTCATATAACTGCCCATTAGTTGGCGTAGTTCAGCTCTACACGTCTGTATATATGTAACTTCTCTAATTATTACCGTGGGAATGTGGAAAAAGCTATTCAAAAAATCTAAATTTCCGAAGTGTTTGAATGAAAATCAAACTATGGTTTCAGAAATGATTTTAAAGTCTACGAGGTAAACATGTGAAATAATTTATTTTGATTTGCAGAAAAATACCTCAGAACTGTTTTTTAGGATATCTAAACACCCTTTCAAGTTGGCTCCCCTATCTCTTCCTCTGTCTCCCCTGTCTCTTCCTCTGTCTCCTTTAGCTGACACTTTTGCCTTTTTGGGATTCCAAAAGCATGTGAAAAAAATAAAGTGTCACGGATGATTCCATTTTCCCCTTTAAATTGACTGCTAGACTTGGTTTTAAATTTTAAATTTTTAAATAAATATAATTCATTTTACAAGCTTTAAATTACATTTGTTCTTAAATCTAATAATTTTTAATTTTGTCTTTAATAATTTTTTTCTTTTATCATATCCTCTCTCATAACAATCCTCATACATTATACTACCTCCTATCATATTTATAAAACCTCGTTTATAGACAACTGGTAGTATTTCATTCTTTTTTTCAATCATTACAAGATGACATATTTAAAAATAAAATATATTTCTAATCTAATTATTATTTTAACTAATTTTTTATTATTTACAAATTAATTATTTAAAGTTTATAATTAATATATCAATTTAGCTTCTACAAACACATCAAGCAATCCTCTTAACCAAGAAAGTAATAATATAATCAGATGTAAAGAGAATTTCACACATGCAGAAAATATAGCTTCACAATATTTCTCATAGCATGTGAAAATAAAAGATAAAGAATTAAAGAATTAAAGCTCATCCCGCTACTAAAGTCAGTATTTGCTTTTCAGTCAATGGCAGTAGAAAGTTGGGCAAAGAGAATGGAAAAAGGTTGGTTCTTTCGTCCTCCACATCTCTCCTTTTATTGCAGTTCGACTTCTGTAGATCAAAGCAGTGAGTGTGGACAAGAAAGTGAGATTGCTTCAACAACTGTCTAAGCAGTATGGATCTCTGCATAATAAGTTTTATATATCTGCACAAAAACTTCTCTTTATTTTACCCCGCTCGTTTTAATTTCATACCTTTGATTCATTTTCTTGTTTTCCTAATATGATTATATGTTGTTACAGATTGTTACTCTTTGGTCAAAACGAAAAGACTGAACCCTGCAATGGCACATGGTGCTAGAGGAGAATCTTCTTCCAGCTCTGATCCTTGTAATTCAACTCATAACTGGAAATATGATGTGTTCTTGAGTTTTAGAGGGAAAGACATTCGCTTGAAGTTTCTGGATCACTTAGATAAAGCTTTGGAAAGAAGTGGCATCAAAACGTTTAAGGATGATAAAGATCTTGAGAGAGGGGGAGTTATAAAACAAGATTTGTTTCAAGCAATCGAGGATTCTCTCTGTGCAGTTGTTGTTGTCTCTGAAAATTATGCAAAATCTACGTGGTGTTTAGAGGAGCTTCAAAAGATCCTTGAAGCTTCAAAAATATTGGATCGACGGGTTTTTCCCATATTCTATGATGTTGATCCAGCCGATGTAAGACACCAACGAAAACGCTTTCGGGAAGCCATGGATGAACATGAAGACAGATTCAGAGAGGACAATGTGAAAGTGCAGACTTGGAGAAGTGCATTGTGTGAAATTGCCAACTTGTCTGGTTGGGACACTAGGGGCAGGTAAGTTTTCTTTTACAATCGTTTAATCATATTTTCTATATTTATTTGAGGCACAGATTCGTTTTGGTTTAAATTGTGTATAATCATTTTAGGCAGAGATGATGATAACATGAAAGTAGCATCCATTATCGGCACAGATGATGGATTTGCATTGGGTGCTCATTATCGTCCAGATCAGATATGGACGGTCCATATTTGATTTTAATTTTATTTTTATTTTTTTAAAATAATTATTTTAATAGGTATAGGATAAAAAATAAAGATAATCTCTTAACTATCATTCTTTAAAAATATAATTTTTTTATTTTAAAATAATTATTTAAAAATATTAAATCTGAACCATCCAGATTAAATCTGGACGGTTCAGATTGCTCATTAGGTTATGAGCACCAAATGCGAACCCCACAGATGATAATCTTCCATTAATAATAAAGTATAGATTTCTCAAATTTCTTAAATTTACATCAAGTTTCACTTTACTCTCCTTAATAAAATTAATTTTAATCATTTGCTTGACAGAAAAAATTTTAGTCCTTTGAACTTAACACTAATAAAAAATATTAACTCAATCATTTTAAAATAATAACATAGTTTTGAAATGCTGGCATATTAATTTTTAATTTAAAATATCTAAATAATATTTAAAATAAAAATTTATTTTTATCAATCATTTTGCAATTTTATAATTATGAAATAAAAAAAATTTTCCTTACTTTTTATCGTGGAAAACATTATCTAATTAATCTTAAAATTTAAATTGAAAAGTTATAATTATTTTAAAGATTAGTGTTAACTTTTATACTAACTCTAATATCATAATTTAAAAAGCTACATAAAAATTAATAAGTTGTAATTTAAGATATTTTTAGATTAATAATTTTATGAAAATTTAAAAGTAAATCTTATAGAACTATGTTAGAAAATTTGATCACAGGAAATAATTATGTTTGAAGGCATCTTTAATTAGGTTTTATTATAAATATTTTTTAATTTACATATTTTAAATTAAAAATTAATATGTCAATATTTAAATGCTGAATCATCATTTTGAAACTGTTGAGTTAGCATTTTATGTTAACAAGGTTAACAGTATTAAATTTAATGGACAAAAAATACACATTTTAAACTTGTAATACTAAACTGAAACTTGAAATAAACTTAAAGAAGTAAATATATACTTTAAGCCTTTTGCCAATATATTTATTATGTTATACTTCAACAAACGTTGTATAATTGGTTCATTGAAGTATGGATTACTGATTGTGTTAATTTTAATTAATTTTTAATGTATTGATTATAAGTAATATTCGTTTACATGCATTTACGTTATATATAATAATTCTTTTATAGCTTACATACATGAGGATGAGAAAATTATGTTGAAGAACCTTGTTCAAAATTTACGTTTTTGGCCAAAAGCTCAAAATTTATTTTCAGGCACCATAAAAACTATAATTATATTGAACGAACAAAATAAACTAACTAACTTTCTTATCGTTATAAAAACTGGTGGCACTTTCATATCCCTTCCCCTATAGTTGTCACTCTGAAATTTAAATCTATTCATCAACAACATAATCAATTGCGTTTAGAACTGCTCATGAAATGGGATCGGGACAGGCTTGGGAACAGGGATGGACGTCCTATGTCTTGTGGGATTGAGATAGTATGGGACGTCCCATTTCTTTTCTTTTGTTTTTTTTTAACTATTGTAATTCTGGGGTTGAATATTTTTATGTTACAATGTTTGCTTTTTCGTTAAGCTTCTAAAGATGAAAGCATTATAAAAAATATTATACAGAAAGCTCAATTATATAATGTAATAAAGGTATAAAAACAATACGGCAAAAAAAACTGTAAAAAAAATTATATAATGACTTTATAAATTATTTTATTGAGAAAGAAGATTTTGTGGAGGTAACATTACAAGTTAAAAGTGAAAATCAAGACAAAAAATAATTATTATTAATAAGTGATTTGAATAATCTAATAATAATTATTAATAAATAATTTTTTGAAAAAAGGTTTTAGAATAGGATAGGACGAGTTGAACACCCCAATTGTGTTATTCCATGCCTAATATACAATTTTTTTTTCTTCCCCCTAAACACCTGTAATATTTATAGCAAAATTGGGCACCCAAATCCCTAATACCACGCTGCTAACATTTCAGTCCTTCAAAATTATAAATTTAATCAAACCCAACAATAATTATCAGTCATCGTTCTTAGTGTAATTTTTTCTATTGTTTATTTGAAATTTCTATAAGCATTTCCCCTAACTTTCAGTTATTTTTATGAGAAATATATTCTCTATAGTGAAATTCCCTGCAGCGCACTATTTAATTATCTTCTCGGTAATATATGAAGTTTCCTAATGATAAGTTTTCTTTTTCATTTGTTTTCTTTATGAAGATTTTTTTTTTGACTTTATATTAGAAGTCCCTTTATTTGTGAACAATATCATTTAAGTTTGTGAGGAGCGCTATTTCCATTGTGACAACAGAAAATTGGAAGGCATTCATTTTGATCTTTTAAGAGAAAAATCAAATTATTAAATGATGAATGGATGAACCGAATGACAGTGCACATTGATAATTAATACGTTGATGAATACAGACACAACAAAATTATGAATAATTCGATTGTCTTTTGGGTAAAATGATCACATTTCTAATTTTAATGAGCAGAACGATCAACTCTTAGATGCTCAAAAATTTACTGTTATATCAAAAAATGTATTGTAGCTTTAGTAAACAATATACGTGAAAAGTCACATTTATTATTATTTTAATTTATTGTGACTATATAACTCGTTAAACAATTTTGTATATATTTTTTTGGATAGGCCTGAAGCAGATCTTATAGAAAAAATAGTCACAGATGTACGGGCTTACATAATTCCTAAATTACCATCTCATGTTGACAATCTAGTTGGGATTGAGTCAAGAGCACGTGATATAATGTCTCTCTTGGAGATTGGGTTGGATGACAGACGTTTTGTAGGGATATGGGGTATGGGCGGGGTGGGTAAAACAACTCTTGCTAGAGTTGTTTTTAAAAACTATCCCACGAGTTTGAAGTGTGTTGCTTTCTTGAAAATGTTAGAGAAACATTCAAAAAGAAGGCAACGTCGTCTCTTTGCAAAAAAGCTTCTTTCTCATCTCCAAATAAAAGACAAGATGATGATGAATACGAAGGAATGAAGATGATAAGAAAGCTTCTCTGCAGTAAAAAGGTTCTTCTAGTCATTGATGATGTAGATAATGAGGATCAATTAACTAATTTGGCCGAAAGTCCAGATTGGTTTGGTAAAGGAAGCAGAATAATTTTTACAACAAGAGATAAGCACTTGCTCACCTCATGTGGAGTAGATGAGCAAAGAATATATGAGATGAAAACCATGAAGAAAGATGAATCTCTTGAACTCTTTTCAAACAAAGCATTCAACAAAGGCCATCCTCCTGATGAGGATTATTGAAGTTATCTAAATCTGTAGTTGAACATGCAGCTGGTCTTCCTTTGGCACTTAAAGTTTTGGGTTCTTTTCTTCACGGAAGAAAAAAATGAGTGGATAGATACTTTAGATAAATTAAAGAAAAGTTATATTGATAAAGATATTTATCAAGTACTTAAAATAAGTTATGATGGATTGGATGAGCAACAACAGGCAATATTTTTAGATATTGCTTGTTTATTCAAGGGTTGGCGGAAAAAAAAAGTGATTCGAATTTTGAAAAGTTGTGGTCTTAACCCAATCATTGAAATAGAGGTCTTGATTGAAAGAACTTTAGTAGTTGAAACAAAAGGCGGCAAATTAGAGATGCATGATTTACTTCAGGATTTGGGTAGGAATATAGTTAAGCAAGAATCTCCCAAGAATGTTGGCAAGCGTAGCAGGTTGTGGGAGTTTGAGGAAATTAAGGAAGTATTGGAAAATAACAAGGTGAGTGCCATATTTTCTAAATATCTCATTTTCTTGACATACATTTAATGTTTTTAATGTTCTTTATTTTCTTATCATTCTCATGTTATTTTTCTTGCAAATGACATTTTTTTAGGGATCTGACGCAATAGAAGCTATTTCTATGCAATTGCAAGGTTGGTTTCGGTACGGGCACGATAAAATAGAAGTACATCCTGAAGCTTTTTCAAAGATGAGTAACCTTAGGCTCTTCTTATGTACGACACGTAACAATCCGTTCATCTTCCCAAGTGAATGGAAATTTTTGGCTGGTGCATTAAAAGTTGTTTTTTGGCCATTTTCTCCTTTGGAAGCTCTTCCACTTGAAACTCAATTGAATGGACTTGTTGAAATGGATATGTCATTTAGCAAAATAAAACAACTTTGGAACAACAAACAGGTAAGATTGATGCTTCATGCATGATTGTTTATCTTAAAATTATATCTTTGTGTTCATGTTTTATTGATGTACTGCTTAGTTAGACTGACTCTACCATCTTTTGTTTGATTCTAGCGCATGACAAAGTTGAAATCTATCGTATTGGAAGACTCTATCAATTTGACTGAAACTCCAGACTTCTCAGGTGCTCCAAATTTAGAACATTTATGTCTTGGTGGATGCACATCTCTTGTCAAGGTTCATTCCTCCCTTGGACAATTGAAAAAGCTTGTTAAGGTGGACATGAATCATTGTTCAAACCTTGAAATCCTACCAGAAAAATTGGAAACAAATTCTTTGGTGAAGTTAAACCTTAGGGGGTGTGAAGAAGTTGCAAAGCTCCCGGAGTTTGGAGAAGGTATGAAAAAACTATCATATCTTAATGTGAATGCTACTTCTATAACTAGACTTCCTGAATCAATTGGATCCTTGACGGGTCTTGAATATTTAAATTTGAGCGGTTGTAAAATTGAAAATCTTGACAAGTTGTTGAAGACTCACATAAGTCACCAAATTTCCGGCTGGAATATAAGGTCCTTAACAGAGTTATATTTAAGCCAGTGTGGCTTAGATGATGGATCGATTCCTGATTTTGACAGTTTATCATTGCTCACTGTATTGGATCTAAGCTTTAATGATTTTGAGAATCTACCTGACTTGTCTAGTCTTTCTCGACTTGTCTTCCTTTCATTGAATTACTGCAAAAGGCTTAAGTCGTTGCCAAGGCTCCCACCGCGATTAATTCGATTACACGCCGCCGGTTGTGATTTAATGAAACCATTATCATCAGATCAACAATTATGGGATTTGGTTGCTTCACTTAACCATGAGGTATGCGTTTCTCTTCCTACAACCTCTAATGTGTATTTTTCCCCCTTAAAACTGCAATTACATAACATGACTAATTTTTTATTTCAGTGTCGTGGCCAAACTATCGATGATGATTGGGATGAAGATGGGCTGGAAGCTGTTCCTTCTGTGCTATATGAGGTACGTGTGTCTTATTTTTGTGTTTTTTTTTTTTTCACATATATGCTCCCTTCATGGGTAATTAATATTAATAACATATTATTTGATATGTTTGCAGGGAGTTAAATGGCCTTCCAGAGATTTCTGTGCAAGTCTTCCAGGATACAAAATACCATCATGGTTTCTAAAGAGAGAATATTGCCCTTTGGATAAGCGGAATAGGAAATATAAGATTGAAGTGGACATGCCTCCATATTTTCGTGACAGTGAATGGTGCGGAATTGTTGTGTGCTTCCGTATGTCAAGTTACAATGATGGTTCTTGGGACGTTGGTTGGAGTGTTAAAGCTGCAGAAGGTGATGATGATTATATACTCGAAGAGTGGGAGTGTGCTATTCCTTATCCCATTCGCGGAGAGCAGTGCATAATAATGGTGTTGGAATTAAATGAGGAAACATGTTGGCGGCACCTAAGAGCTCTTAACAATTCCCTTCACATTCTATTTTCTTTTGCATCACTTGATCAAGATTATTGGGAAGCAGAGGAATGTGGGTGGAGAGTGATACGTAAAGAAGAGATACAAGATTGGCGCCATCTAAATGGTTTCTTCAACCAAGCCAACCAACCCAAGCTTGCTTCTTCTGATGAGGTCAAGCTTCCGCTGAGAGCACTTGTAGAGTTCTTTTTGGGGGAGTGGTTTTTGACTCGCTGATTCAAGAACCAGAGAAAAATGGACGAGAATAGGTAACAATGACTCATCGTCTTCCTGCTCCTTCCATTCTAATATGATAGTTGTCACTCCAGGATATTTGTCTTTGTTTCAAAAAATTTTGTCATTTGATGAGGTTTTCAGAAAGAAACGGAATTTAATTAATTACATCATCATAAATGAAAACTGAGCGCTTGTTAACATGAATAAAGGCATTTAATGAAGTGATATACCATTGCATTTCGGTAAAATTTAAATCTTTTGTTATTTTCGTCAACACAAATCGAAAGTGACAATTCACCAGTAAAGAAAATCATTTTCTCTATAAAAAAGAATATGTCAAGCTCCATGTGCTTTACACGATGAGGTAGCAATGGATTTCATGAGAACAGTAACTAAATTGTAAGCGACATGCATGAATCATTCCTCTCATATACTTGTGGGAATGCAAACACAAGTGTCAATAACATAATCATATCACTTACCATAATAAACTAGAAAAAAGAGGACAATAAAAAGAACCAGATTTACGAAACAGAATGAAGCTTGGAAATTTTCAATTTGGCTGGAAACACCCTCCCCTATTTCCAATTTTGAAAGAGAATAGGATCCAAGTTCCATGCATAACTACAAATTTAAGTTAGTACATAAAAATATATGACTTGGCTAGACAAATTAGATAAATTGATTTAATATTGATCATATCAAATGGCAATAAAATATTTTGGTATATAACGTGTTGATGTATCACTTGCAAAGAAACAGAGTATTTAAAAATAAAGTGAAGTAAAAAGACACGCCTCAATGCAACAGAGTATTTAAAAATAAAGTGAAGTAAAAAGACACGCCTCAATGTGCATGAGCAATTTGTTCGCAAAATTAATTATGTGTTGATATTAAAACCCAAAAAAAAAGAAGAAAAATTCTATCATATGGATATGTTTATTTCAGGAAGAAGAAAAGAACAAATAAATAATAAACAGTTCAAGAAGAAGAGATAAGTAGCTCATAGTTAGACAAACATAAACATATGTTTGGCATGAATTATATTTTTATGATGAAATCAAATTACAATAAGAATATATAAATATATTTATGTATGTATGCATGCACATAAAATTGGTGGAAGCCATTTAGTTTACGATGAGTAATTAAGTGGCTCACCTATTGATTACTTGTTCTATTTGTTTATTGTGTATATAATATAATAGGAAGTATATCATAAATAAAATTCTATTCTTGATCACAGTGAAACAAAGGGATGTGGGTGGGGAGTGATGTGTAAAGAAGAGATACAAGAGTGGTGCCATCTCAATCATTTCAGCCAACTTCCTTCTCTTGATACTGACGACGTCAAGCTTCCTAGAAGAGTGCTTGGCAAGTTCGCTGAAGCAATTCATTTGTTTGACCAAGACGAGGACTTTTGACCTCAAAATCATTTATAAATTAATCGTTGAAAAGATGATTTTCAATTTCACATTCTAAAATATTTATGTAATTCGATATGTTGCCTAAATTTCTTGCAAACAACCAAAAGAATAAACAACTTTAGGGACAGTAATCAATCAAGAGAATTCTAGACATACTTAATTGGTGGAGGAAATTTTTCAAAATAATTAAGGGTTAAATCTAACAAAATATTTTTTTCAACAACATTCAAAATATTTTAAGATGTTGAATACACTAAATATTACTAAAAAATTAAGATTCTTAGTGATACTGAAAAAATAATTTAGGTTGTTGAATGAAAATTTTATGATGCTGAATGTATTTTAACCCAACAATTAATTTAATTTTCCTTGAAGAGATTTCAACACTTTTGCAGATGCATACGTTTGCTTAGACAACTTTTTTAATATATATATATATGCATATAGGGAAAAGAAAAAATAATAATAGATGAATAAAATACAAGCACTAGTTAATTAATACTACCTCAAATCCTTAATGTAAGATCTCATTTGACTTTTATTTTGGTCTTAAATATAAGACTTCAATCTACTTTGTCTATCATATTTATGCATTTTTTTCCTAAAATAATCCTTCTAATAATGGTAGTTAGTTATAGCCAACATATTTGATTAGTAAGGATATTTTAGGAAAGATAACCCTTATTTATTACAAATTACTAAGTTAACTTATTTTCTTAATCTCATCAAATTAGTCAACTAGCTTTTATATTTAGGACTGGAGGTAGTTCTTTGTTTACAAAAGTTAACAAAGAACTTACTACATCTAAATAGACAAAAAATCTAAAAAATGTTAGATTAATTTAACCAAAAGTAAATTCCTTAACCAATTCAAATAAGAGATTGAACTGTTCTTAGTAGATTACTTA